TGACAGTTCATAGTGCTTTTTAAAGCCTGTTTAAAATTTCTTTGTCCTTTTTTCACCTGGAATGGTCTGAAAACCAAGCTTTTATATTAAAGAAGGTAATTTTTGAGACATTCATAGCAGCACAATTTACAATACCTAAGATTTGGAAACAGCCTAAATGTCCATCAGCAGATGAGTGGATTAAAAATATGGTACATCTGCCGAAGCCGGTTTGGCTCAGTGGTAGAGCGTCGATCTGCGGACTGAAAGGTCCCTTGTTCGATTCCAGTCAAGGGCATGTATACTGGTTGCGGGCACATCCCCGGTAGGGGGTGTGCAAGAGGCAGCACAATGTTTCTCTCTCATGGACGTTTCTAGCTCTCTCTCTCCCTTTTTCTCTGTTAAAAATCAATAAAATATATTTTAAAAAATATGGTACATCTACACAATGGAATACTATGCTGCTATAAAAAAGAAGGAATTCTTACCATTTGCAGCAGCATGAATGGAACTGGAGAGCATAATGCTAAGTAAAATAAACCAGGCAATGAAAAAAAAAAATACCATATGATCTCATTTATGGAAAATAAAGAACATTATAACCTGATAGATAAAAAGATAGCGATACAGAGGCAGTAAAGCATCGAACAGACTGTCAAATTACAGCAGGAAAGCTAGGGAGAGGGGGAAAGAGATCAACTGAAGGACATGTATGCATGCATATAAGCACAACTAATGGACACAAGATATTGGGTGGGTGGGGAATGAGGGCATGTGCCAGGGACTAGGGGAGGCTGGGGAAAGTCTGGGGGGGCGGAAAAGGAGATATATGTACTAATATTTGTAGTATTTAAACAATAAAATTAAAAAAAGTCATTCTGAATCCTTTTAGGTACTCATAGGTTTGTACTCATAGGTTTGGGATAGCTAAAACATATTTTCAGGTCTTTGTCAAATCATATTTAATGGCATTTAAGAATATTTTGCATAATTGCTCACAAAACTGAAATATATGGACTAAATACAGCATTAGGAGTTTGCATTGAGTTAATATACTATTGTAGAGGTATTAGTTTTTGTGAGTTTTCTAAGCTTTACTCTTTTTACAGTTACCTTATTTGTCTGTGAAAGGTTTGTCTTATGAATATCTAATAGGTGTTACCTAAACTTGTTAGTTTTAGTAAACCAATGAACCTACATTGGTTTTGAAAAGAGTCACCCTAAATTTTATCCCTTAAAAATAAGTTTTAAATCACAGGAATGAATCTTTTTTCACCTTTCCTGGGTATTTATGCGTTAGTGTTAGGAAGTGGGTTTCTACTTCTGTACTTTGCCATATTAGGAAACCATAGTTAACCTTTCTGAAGCCATTTTTTACAGAGGGGAAGGGAGAGGAATAGACAGTCAGGAACATTGATCAGCTGCTTTCCCTCCCCCCCCACTGGGGATGTGCCCACAACAAAGGTACATGCCCTTGACTGTAATTGAAACCAGGACCCCCTCAGTCCACAGGCCGATGCTCTATCCACTGAGCCAAACCTGTTAGGGCAACTTTTCTGAAGTCTTGATTTTTAAAATACGTGTATTATCTTCAGGCTAGAGAATATTTTACGTTTTGGAGGTTTTTTTTTTTTTGGGGGGGGGGTGGTGATGTAGCCAATCCTGTAAGAAGAGAGAAAAATCAGACGCTTTTATTGCTTGTCAGGTCTGATGAATTAGACTTTTTAAATAAAATGAGGAACACCCATCCCTGGCCAGTTTGGGTGAGTGGATAGAGCCCCGGCCTGTGGACCCAACGAAGGTTTCCTGTTTGATTCCAGTCAAGGTCACATACCTTGGTTGCAGGCTCATCCCTGGCCTGGCCCTGATCAGGGTGTACAGGAGGCAAACAATGTGTTTCTCTAACATTGATATTTCTCTCGGTCTCTCCCTCTCTCTTCAACTCTCTAAAAATCAATGGAGAAATATCCTAGGGTGAGGATTAAAAACACAAAACATGCCGAAACCGGTTTGGCTCAGTGGTGGAGCGTCGGTCTGCGGACTGAAGGGTCCCAGATTCGATTCCGGTCAGGGCCATGTACGTTGGTTGCGGGCACATTGCCTGTGTGGGGTGTGCAGGAGGCAGCTGGTCGATGTTTCTCTCTTATCAACGTTTCTAGCTCTCTATCTCTCTCCTTTCCTCTCTGTAAAAAATCAATAAAATATATTTTTAAAATAAAAAAAAACCACAAAACATAAATGAGAACCCATAGTGGCTGAATTTGATTAATCAAAATTACTGACCCAGTTATAGAGGAGTAGTGATGTAGCATCTTCCTTTTTTGTGAAAAGGCTAATTGGAGGTGATTATCTTGTAGAATATTTTAGTAATTTAGCACACTAGTTCAGTTAAATTTAACAATCTGAGGTTTCTTTTCAACTTTTTATTGAAATTTAATTCACATAGCATATATTTCTGCATTTTAACAGATACACTTAAGAAGTTTCTAGTTCCTGAATGTTTTCATTCCTCATCCCAAAGATAATGCCATACCTATTAGCAATTGTCTGAATTATCCCTCTCCATGTTTCCTGGCAATCACAAATTTACTTTCTATCTCTAGATTTGCCTATTCTGGACATTTTGTATAGATGTTTTTAAGTCTTTTTTTTGGAATAGGTTGTATGTTCAAAAGATAGAAAATTTAGAACATGTCAATATGTATTTTCCCAGCCACTCAAGTTTTCCCTGGATATAGCCAATACTATCAGTTTCTTTTCTGTCTTTACAGTCTATATCAAGCAAATACAACACATTCTATGTGTTTTTAAAAAAAAAATTATTTTTGTTGATTTCAGAGAGGAAGGAGAGGTGGGGAGAGAGAGAGACATTAATGATGAGAGAGAATAATTAATTGGCTTCCTCCTGCATGCCCTCTACTGGGGATCAAGTCTGCAACCCGGTGCATGCCCTTGACCAGAATTGAACCCCGGGATCATTGATGGACTTTTTCTCCAGTTTTTTTTTTTTTATGTTAAAAGTAGAGCTGAAACCGGTTTGGCTCAGTGGATAGAGCCTCAGCCTGCGGACTAAAGGGTCCCGGGTTCGATTCTGGTCAAGGGCATGTACCTTGGTTGCAAGAGGCAGCTGATCGATAACTCACTCGTCGATGTTTCTAGCTCTCTATCTCTCTCCCTTCCTCTCTGTAAAAAAAATCAATTAAAAAAATATATATATAAATAAGAAATGTTTTTTTTTTTTAAAGTAGAAATGCAGGGAATAATCTATACATTTTTATTACACTCATGTGTGTGTATGAGTGTATATTTATGATAAAGCCCTAGAACTGTTGTTCTATGGGATGTATATGCATTTGTACTTTTGATATTTTTATGTTGCCCTTTCTGACACCCTTTTCAATTCCTCTACCAAACATTGAGTTTTGCCAGTTTAATAAGGTCAAAAACAGTGTCTCCATATGATTTCCATTACCATTTCTCCTATGCTAAGACTATATATATTTTTATAGCCATTGGCTCTTTCTCTCCTTTGCCCATTTTTCTATTAGATTTTTCTTGTTGGAACCCTTTTTATATTAGTTAAATGAGTTATTAGGATGTAATTTGCAAATACCCTTTCCCAGTTAGTCATTTGTTTTTTCAATTTTACTTTTATGATATTTGCCAGATATAAAACATGTATAATGTTGAATTTATCAGAGATTTTGTGTTTTACTTATTTTCTGGGGATTTAAGAATTTAAAAAAATTTGGAGAATATATTTACAAATGATATATCCAATAAGGAGCTGATAACAGATAACCAAAATATATATGAAACTCATACAACTCAATGACAAAAAGTGAACAATCCAATCCAAAAATGGTTAGAGGACACGAACAGACATTTCCCCAAAGGAGACATACAGATAGGCACAGACATATGAAAAGATGCTCAACATCACTAGTCATCAGAGAGATGCAAAACAAAACCACAGTGAGATACAAGCTCACACCTGTCAGGATGGCTTTTTCAAAAAAGTAAACAAATAAAAAGGGTTGAAGATGTGGAGAAAAGGGATTACTTGTGCACTGTTGGTGGGAATGCAAATTGGTGCCGCCACTATGGAAAACAGTGTGGAGAATCCTCAAAAAACTACAATTGGATCTACCCCATGAGCCACGAATTCCACTTCTGGTGTTATCTAAAGAAAATAAAACCACAATTAAAAAAAAAGAATTTAAAAAATTATGCTGAGGACTGGGTGGTGATTTAAATGTTTGATCCTTCTGGATATATGGTTTCTTTTTTTGCTTTAAAAAAATGTTTTTGTTGATTTTAGAGGGAGAGGAAGGGAGAAGGAGAGAGACACATCGATGTGAGAAATATCGATTGGTTGTCTCCATTTGCACCTGGACTGGGATCCTGTGATCCAGGGATCAAACATGAAACCAGGGTGGGATGACACTCAAACCAGCTGAGCCACACTGGCTAGGGCTGCCAGGGCTGTCATGGTTTCTTTAAATGTGTGTATCAAGTTAAGGTTACTTATTTCTTTTAAAAAAAAATATTTTATTGATATTTTACAGAGAGGAAGGGAGAGGAATAGAAAGTCAGAAACATCGATGAGAGAGAAACATCCATCAGCTGCCTCACGCACACTCCCCACTGGGAATGTGCCCGCAACCAAGGTACATGCCCTTGACTGGAATTGAACCCGGGACCCTTCAGTCCGCAGGCCGATGCTCTATCCACTGAGCCAAACCGTTTTGGCCATTTTATTTATTTCTTAAAAAAATTTTTTTTTTTTTTTTTTTTTTTTTTTTTTTTTTTTTTAGAGAAAGAGGAAGGGAAAGGGATAGAGAGAAGAAGCAATATTTAGTAGGATTTAGGAATATCTTTTGGGGATAATTATTCTTGTCCTTTATATTAACAAAATATTAACTTAATTAAAAGGTTTTGTTTTTCTGCTTATTTTTTAGGCTGAGAAGGCCATTGTGACTATGTGGTGACTACAGTTATACAAGTTTCCCACTGGAATCATGGAGGAGAAACAGCAGATTATATTGGCTAGTCAAGATGGTGGGACAGTGGCAGGAGCAGGACCTACCTTCTTTGTCATCCTAAAACAGGCAGGAAATGGCAAAACAGATCAAGGAATTTTGGTTACTAATAGGGATGCTTGTGCTTTGGCTACCAGTGTGTCATCCCCAGGAAAATCTACAGGGAAGATTTGCCTGCCAGCTGATTGTACTGAGGGAGGAATCACTGTCACCTTGGATAACAATAGTATGTGGAATGAATTCTATCATCGAAGCACAGAGATGATTCTGACCAAGCAGGGAAGACGCATGTTTCCTTACTGTCGTTATTGGATCACAGGTTTAGACTCAAATAAGAAGTATATCCTTGTCATGGATATATCTCCTGTGGATAACCATCGTTATAAGTGGAACGGTCGCTGGTGGGAACCCAGTGGGAAAGCAGAGCCTCATGTTTTAGGGAGGGTTTTTATTCATCCAGAATCACCATCCACAGGCCATTATTGGATGCACCAACCAGTATCTTTCTATAAACTGAAACTTACCAACAATACACTGGACCAAGAAGGGCATATTATCTTGCACTCTATGCATCGATACCTGCCAAGGCTTCATTTGGTACCTGCAGAAAAGGCTACTGAAGTGATACAGTTAAATGGCCCTGGTGTCCACACATTTACCTTCCCACAGACTGAATTCTTTGCAGTAACAGCTTATCAGAACATACAGATTACTCAGCTGAAAATAGATTACAATCCATTTGCTAAAGGCTTCAGGGATGATGGGCTGAATAGTAAGCCCCAGAGAGATGGAAAGCAAAAAAACAGCTCTGACCAAGAAGGTAATAGTGTTCCCAGTTCTCCTGGTCAACGGGCCCGTCTCACAGAAGGTGAAGGGTCAGAGATACAGCTTACTGATTCAGATCCTTTATCTAGGGGTCATGAGACATCAGGCAAGGGTTTGGAGAAGCCTTTCCTTAATATAAATCAAGACTTTATTGGTTTCATGGATATTGATTCATCACTTGAGGAAGTTACTCAGTTTAAACAAGAGGTCTCTGAAAGGTAGGTAACAGTTTTTCTGTTTCGAGCGATAAAAGATTTTGGATTGAACATACTGTTTGACTGCTGATTTTCTTAGACATTGGTAAATGTAAACTACTCAAAAACATACCACAACTGTTTTTACATTCTGTAAAGTGGTGTTTCATTTCTCTGTAATAATATCAGTTGTGTTGAGGATTCAGAATTGTAGACAATTAGATGATTTGTCAGAATGGGGATCTTTTATTCATTTAGACTTAAAATTTTGTTAATCGTGCATAGGACTGTTCCTTGGTTATATGTAGACACACTATTAATTGAGGAAGGGAAAAAATGACCCCCAAGAAATGTCATAACTGAGAAAACTTATCCAGATGAGTTACAGAAGGGATTTAAAGTACACTTAATACTTAAGAATTTACTGTCTATGGATATCCTAACCCATAAATTGCCTGACTGAAAAACAAGCTAAAGATTGTTATTATGCTCTTAGGTTAAAATAGCATTGAACTTGCATTATTTATGATTTTTAATGGAAAGTTTTTAATTGATTTGAGAGGAAAGGAGAGAGATGGAGAGAGACACATCAATGTGAGAGAGAAAAATGGATAGGTTGCCTCTGGTAAGGATTGATCCCAAAACCAAAGTGTATGCCCGGAATAGGAATTGAATGGCTACCTTTTGGTGTATAGGACAATGTTCCAACCAAGTGAGCCACACCAGCCAAAGCTATTTATTACTTTTTTCAATCAAGGGCTATATTTTTAGAGCAGTTTTAAGTTCACAACAAAATTTGCAAAATTGAGAAGAAGGTTTAAAGTTTTTCTATAGACCATATGCCCCAATACATGCATAGCCTCCTTCATTATCAAGATCCCCCATCAGAGCGGTACATTTGTTACAACTGATGAACCTGCATTTACACATCATAATCACCCAAAGTCCATAGATTATATTAGGATTTACTCTTTGTGTTGTGTAGTCTGTGAGTTCAAACAAATGTATATAATGACATATATCCACCTTACATACATAGAGTATTTTCATTGCATTAAAAATTCTGTATGCTGCCGGCACCGGTTTGGCTCAGTGGATAGAGCAGCCATCTTGGATTCTCCTGGGTCCCCCTGTCTCCTTTTGATCAAGTACATCTTTCAGTAAAATTAACAGAAAGGAAATATGGGACATAGAATTTTAGCATTTACTTAAGTAAGTTCTGATGAAAGTAATAGTCCCTTGCCCCTCTGAACACCTAATTTTCTTCTTACATGTTGAAAAATAGCTTTATTTTGCCCTAGTACTTTATAAATTGTCTGGTTAATTCTGTGCTGAAAATGCATTGCAAGTTCCAGTTTTCTGTTGAGAATTATTTTTTAAAATATATTTTTATTCAAAGAGGAAGGGAAAGAGAGATAGAAACATCAGTGATGAGAATCATCAATTGGCTGCTTCCTGCTTGCCCCCACGAGGGATTGAGTTCACAACCCTTGACTAGAACTGAACCTGGGACCTTTCAGTCTGCAGGCCAATGTTCTATCCACTGAGCCAAAGCAGTTAGGGCACCTGTTGAGAATTTGATGCCATTTTGATTCTTGGTCATTTGAAGGCTCTTAAGATCTTTTGTTCATCCCTTATATTATGAAATTTTACAGTGATGGGCCTTGGTGTGGTTCTTCTCATCATTGTGCTATTTCTCTCCCCCCCCCCCCCCCCCCAATTCTTGTACTGTGGATCCAGGAACACTTTTAGTATTATTTGTCTAAGTTTTTTACTTTTTTTTTTTTTTTTTGAAACTCCTTATAATTGGGTGTTTCATCTCCTGGATTGATTATCTTATCAGTTTTTTTTTTCTTATCAATCTTTTATTGTCTTATTTTTTCCTCTACTTATATTGAAGTTTCATTAAAGTTTTTATTGCAGCTGTCAGATTTCAATTTCTAAGAGCTCTTCTATTTTCTTTTTCATTCCACATTTTCTTTTCCCAATGGATTTCTTTTTTCCTGTTAACTTAATTATCACCAGTTTTATGGAAGGTATTATGTTACAGGTTCTTTAAATATACACCCTTAGTACATGTACATATCTTTATTGTAGTATCTGTTAAATAACATTTTATTGTCTAGTTTGTTTTCTTGCACTGGTCTGTAAATTTCTTGAATATGAGATAGGAACTGTTTTTTTGTTATCCTTGGGCCCAACAAAATTTGGTACATTGTAGACACGGCGTAATTAGCCCTTAATATCTGAGGGGGATTGTCTCCAAGAACCCCTAACCCCACCCAGACCAAAATTGGCCAATACTCAAGTCCTTTATATGAAACTAGGGCCCACTGCACGAATTTGTGCATCTTGAAAGGAACAGTGGGCTGAGAGGCTACAGTGGGCACAGGGGTGGGTCTAGGCCCATCCTCCACACCCCCACTGGCCCCTCCTGCCACAGCTCTCGGCCCCCTTTCTGCTGGCAGTCCCCCTCCCATGTACTGACAGCTTAGGTCTCGCTTGCATCCGCTGAAGGCATGGAGTGATTGGGGCCAGTGCTGTCAGTGGGTGCAAGCAGCGACTGCTGCCTCAATGTCCCCTCAGGAGCAGGGGGAGGTGGAGAAGCCCTCAGGGGCGATTGGGGCCGGTAGCCGCTCCTCACACCTGCTGACTGTGCCGCGAGCGGTGGCTCTGGCACTGGCTGAGGGTGAGAGCACGGCTGGGATTGGCAGTGGGTGCGAGTGGCAGCTCCAGCACTGGCAGAAGGTGCTAACACCAGGCAAGACCATGAGAATTTTCAGTAATCACCAGAGGCTAGCCAGGTAACAGCGACCAGTGCCCCACCTTGGTCTGGTGCCCCTGCTCACCTGCTCCATCATCCCACCATGGCCGAGATCTACCATATTCTGCTTACACCCCCAGGTGGTCAACGCACATCATAATGACTGGTTGTTGATTTTAAAAAAAATATATTTTATTGATTTTGTACAGAGAGGAAGGGAGAGAGATAGAAAGCCAGAAACATCGATGAGAGAGAGTCATCGATCAGCTGCCTCTTGCACACCCCCTCCTGGGGATATGCCCGCAACCAAGGTACATGCCCTTGACCGGAATCGAACCCGGGACCCTTCAGTCCCCAAGCCGACGCTCGATATCCATTGAGCCAAACCGGTCCCAGCTGTTTGTTGATTTGTTGATGGTAGCCATTCTGACAGGTGTGAGATGGTACCTATAATTTTTTTGATTTGCATCTCTCTGATCATTAGTGACTTTGAGCAGGTTTCATTTGTCTCTTGATTTTCTGTATCTCCTCTTTCAAAAGTCTATTTAGGTCGTTTGCCCATTTTTGATTGGATTATCTTTCTTTAGTTAAGATGTATGAGTTTCTATGGATTAAACCCTTATTGGACATAACATTGACAAATATGTTCTCTCATGCAGTGGGCTCTCTTGTTGTTTTGTTGATGGTTTCTTTTGATGTGCAGAAGCTTTTTATTTTAATGTATCCCATTTGTTTATTTTTCTTTAATTTTCATTGTCGTAGGAGCTGTATCGGTAAAGATATTGCTACAACATATGTCTGATATTTTGCTGCCTGTGGATTCTTCTAATATTTTTATGGTTTCCCACCTTACATTTAAGTCCTTTATCCATTTTGAGTTTATTTTTGAGTATGGTATAAGTTGGTAGTCTAGTTTCATTTTTTTGCATGTATCAGTCCAATTTTCCCAACACCATTTATTGAAGAGACTATCTTGACTCCAGTGTACGTTACCTCCTTTGTCAAATATTAATTGAGCACAATGGCCTGGGTCAATTTGTGGGTTCTCTGTTCCGTTCCATTGGTCTATATGTCTGTTTTTTGCTAGTACCAGGCAATTTGATTTTTAGGGAGCTTGGAAGAAAGAGGGAAAGACAGAGAGAAACATCAGTGTGAGAGGGATACTTTGATTGGTTGTCTCCTGCATGAGGGACACTGATTGGTTGCCTCCTCCCTGACCTGGGCTAACCTCTAGGTACATGCCCTTGATCAGAATTGAACCCAGATCCTGTGATCGGCAGGCCAAGACTCTATTCATTAAGCCAAACTGGCTAGGGCAGGATATGACAGTTCTTAGGCCCTCCAGCAACAGACCTTAATTTTTCCTCCAGGAGTGAGGTGGAAAAATCCTAGATCACCTTCTTGGATTCTTATAACTCAAGTTACCAAGAACACTGTGAGAGGCAGCTTACAGGGAGCTTAGCCAATGATCCTTCAGAAAAGGTGTTTCCTCTGCCGCTCATGTGCAGAGGACCCCCTGTATTGTGTCCACAGGGCTTCTGTCCACTGGGCTGGGGGCATGCTCCAAGACACACTGTGAGGGCTGCCAGGGGCACATCCCCAGCCCAGCAGTCCCGCTTTCTGTCAGCTAGGCTTCCGTCTGCTAGGCCGGGGCCTGCCTGAGCTTCCCTGCGGCAGCTCTGAGCTCATCCCCGACCCACTTTCAGTCAGCTGGGCTTCTGTCTGCTGGCCCGGAGGTGTGCTTGGAGCCGCGCAGCGGCAGCTCTGAACTCATCCCCAGCCCAGTGCCCGCTTTGTCAGCTGGGCTTCTGTCCGCTGGGCTGGGAGCATGCCTGGAGTTGGCGTGGCGGCTCTGAGCTCACCTCCCTGTCATCTGGGCTTCTGTCTGCTGGGCCCAGGGACCTGCCCGAGCCTTCCTGCGGCGGCTCTGAGCATGCCCCCGGCCCACTTTCAGTCAGCTGGACTTCTGTCCGCTGGTCCCGGGAGCATGCCTGGAGCGGTGTGCAGCGGAAGCCTTGAACACGTCCCCAGCCCAGCGGCTGGTTCTTTCCATAAGTTTCTTTTATTCACTAGAGTCCTTCCTCAGTTATTTTGATTTTCAGATTCAATTGTTGATAGATATGCATTTATTGCCATTTTATTGGTCATATATACATTTTAAAATATATTTTTATTGATTTCTAAGAGGAAAAAAGAGGGAGATAGAAACATCAATAATGAGAGGAAGTCATTGATTGGCTGCCTTCTGCAAGCCCCCTAC